AGCAAAGGAATCTTGCAATTTGCCCTCATACCCCCATTTTCCTCTGCTCTTGGAGTTCCCTTAGTGGGAAGGTTGGGGCGATGCTGGCCTGCAGGGTGAAGTGATAGCCTCTGTTGGCTCTCTTGATATGGCCCTTGTGGTCTCCAGTTCAACCCCATGTTGGGGCATTGCTGGCCTCTCATGCCATGTTCCAGAAATATTTCAAGAAGTTTCTTGAATACATCAGGATGTTCTCCATCCTCAAGCCTTTGCCCATCATGATCCTTCCTTCTATCTGCACTGGCCTCTCCCTTTCTTTCAGCTCACCTGGTTGAGGTGAGGCATGAGCACTCCAGTTCCTCCACACTTCCCACCGCTCCCCATTGCGTTCCACCGTTTCATGTGTTATAGTCCCGACCTTCTGCGAGAAGCTTTTCTCCATCTCCCCTTCAGTCAGACATAATCACTTTGATCCCTGTTGTTTCTGTACTTTTATATCCATTACTGCATTTATCTTATCACATGATATGAGAAATCTGTCACATCCTATGAGAAATTTTTGGAATTTTTTTTAATTTTAAAGGTAACGTGCATGCTCGTTAGATAAATTTTGAAAAATTAGGCACAAATAGAAAGGTTGTATAGCTGTCATAATTCTGTGTTTATAAAGTTTAGGGTCTTCACTTTTTTAGATGACATTATAAGCATTATTACGCCATCTTAGTGTAATTTTTAAAGTCTCTTTACAGTGCTTGGCTGCACCTTCTTGAGGATCAGGGGCCTGTTTTGTATAACCAGCACCTAAGCACAGTGTTGGTCTGGGCCAGTGTAGGAACTTAGTAATGTTGAATTCCGGAGCTGAAAAACTAATCAGTCTCCAATCCTACCCTCAAGGAGCTCATTCTGGAAGAGGACACATGCATATTCATTCATTATTTAATGTACTCATTTGTTTATTCAACAAATACACCCTGAGCACCTACTATTAAGCCAGATATCATCCTAGCCCTGGGCACACAGCAGTGCAGAAAGCCTTGCCCTCATGAACTGTGTATTCTAGAGCAGCGATTTTCAGCCTTCCTCATCTCCTGGCACACAGAAACTCAAATTGCGTAGCACACACACAAAATATATTTTTTGCTGATCCGACAAAAATAGTTATAATTTTGATCAATTTACCAAAAGTAATGCAATTACCTACCCTTTTTTGCTCCAAAGTGGCGTTTTAAAAAATCAGGTGTCTATACTTATATATAAGGATTTCTGGTACCAAGAATTAACCAATCAAACACAAACTGATTATGTAATGTGACCAAGAAGATGCAACTCCATTATTTGATGTATATATTTTTTGTTCTAAACAGGGCATTCACCCTGGATGGCTGTTGTTGTATTGGCTGTTGTCATTTTTTTATTTGACAGTCTAAGGGAAAAGAGGTCCATGCCCCTGACTAAATAGTCAGGTATTGCATGTTTTTAAAGTTCATGTGGCACACCAGTTGAAAACTGCTGTTCTAGAGCAGTAGTTCTCAAACTGTAGAGTGTGCTGGAATCACTTGGAGGGCTTGCTAAACCATGAATCTCCGGGCCCCACCCCCAGACTTTCTGATTCAGTGGGGCCTGAGAATTTGCATTTCTAACAAGTTCCAAGGAGATGCTGATATGGGACCACGCTTTGAAAAGCCCTGGCACAGAAGACAAGTCTGCAGTAGAGTCAGGCAAAGCCATATGGGAGAAGGGCACATTGATTTTTGTCAAAGCCTCTCTGACTCTTCAAGTCCCAGTGAGGAAGGAGATGGCTGGGGAAATGCTGTGTCCAGAGTGTCCTCCTCACTCTGGATGACTTCCGGCCATCTCTGCGGGGCCATGGAAGCCTGGGACCGATTGGGAGAGACGGGAGAGCAATCATGCTGGCCATGAGTGTACCTTCTCTGTGCCACATCCTTTGGCACACTTGCCATATATAATGTCCAATCTTCAGAGAAACTACAAGGAGTGTATGATTGCCCCCATTTTATATATGAGAAAACGGAGGCCCAGAGAGCTTACATATCATACTTTGGTTCCCCAAGACAGTGAGTCATGTATGTGGGGTTCTAAGCCAGGACTTGCTGCCTGCAAACCCCATGACTCAAATTGAGACTGGCCTCTAGTTGAGCCCTCAGCGGGACCAGTTTCTTAAATGTTTCAGCAGTCATAGCTGTTTTCTCTGTGGTGAGCCACTGGTAGCAGGAGCTATGCACCTGTTCCTCAAGCCCAGCGGAAACAGAGAGGCTCAGACTTGCAGTTTATTAGGGAGGAAGCCAAACTGGAGTCTAGTGGGGCTTGACAGCTGAGACACACGGCTGCAGTTTGGGTGGAAATAGCTAATGGTCCTTCTTGTAGGAGCTGTATCTGGAAATTGCTAATTTTTTTTTTCAAATTTAGAAATTTGTGGAAGCTTAGCTGCTCCAGGTTTAATGCATTAGAAATTTGCATAATGTGTTTAAAAGTAAATGAAAAGCCAATCTTCTCAAATCCTTCTGAAGAAGAGCAGGCTGGCTGGCAGCGTGATTTCACAAACAGTGAAAAGACTAGAGAAAAGGCAGCTCACTCCACTGCAAAGGTAACTTGGGAAGTTAATGTTGAAGTAGCCCAGGTCCCAGGCTCTGACACATTTAAGAATGTTGCCTTGGCCCTGGCCAGGTAGCATAGTTGGTTGGAGCATCATCCTGATATTCCAAGGTTGCAGGTTTGATCCCCAGTCAGAGCACATACAAGAAGCAACCAATGAATGCGTATTTAAGTGGAACAAAAGTCAGTCTCTGCCTCTCTGTCTCTGTCTCTGTCTCTCTCTCATATGCACAAACCAATAAATTTAAAGTCTTGTCAGCTACCTGGATTATTTCACTTTAGCTTCACGTAGAAGTACTTTCAAAGATTTGTGCTTTAGCCTAATACTGTCAAAGGTTAAAAATATATAAATGATGTAAGAAAAAGTCTCTTCATTTTCTATGAAACTAAAGGAGACACATTTGCTCCGTATGTCTACAAGCATCATACAATAAATTTCTCTATTCCTTACTAGTAAGTTATGCTTCTTTTGTATTGACTGGGCATGTTCCCTTGTTTCATTTCAGGACTGTAAAATCCATTGCCTTTCCCTTTTTGCCTATGTTACCAGGAAGCTCAGAGCTATTATTTGTATGCAGTAGCTTCCCTTAACCTAAAGTTCTTTGGTATAATTATCTCCCTACTCTTTTGTTACACAAGTAACCTGTGTAACAAAACTTCTGTTATCCATGTAACACAAATGTTATAAGCTTCCCAAAATAATTTATAAAAGTAGGTGGATATCACAGATTAATGAGTGAAAAATAAGTTTTCAGAATGCAAGGATGACTTTCAGGGTTTTTTTTTTTTAACTTTTAAAGAGTGAATTGAGCTAACTGTGAGCATATGTGTGAACACATACATGTCCAAAAACATGTATGTACTTAATGTCTTGAGATATATCCACTTACAGTATTGTGGTTAAGAGAATGAACTTGGGTGTGAGCCAGTCCTGGCTTTGAGCACTGGTTACTCCCTGCCTGCTTCATGATTTAATGTCTCTGGGCCTCAGTGTCATCTGAAATGGAGATATAATGATACCATGCATAGTCATTGAAGAATTAAAACGATTTATGTAAAGTGCCTCACACAGTGCCTGGCACTGCAGCCAGTGGTAATTACTACTATTGCTGTGGTTGTGTCCAGCACTGGCTAGACTTTATGGAAAGGCTGGACTTAACATTCCAACTGCCCCAGATTGTTTTCTGGAATATGTGGTGTTGAACTAAAATGACCTTCTGCAGAAAGTCAGGGTGGTTCGTCCAAGGAGGGCCGCCGAGGCTTACTTCTGCCTTAGAGAGAGTAGGTAGGGCTGTGCTGGTGTTTCTTACTAATTCTCAAATGACAGCAGATGATCACTGAAGAGGCACAAGGTAGTCTGAGGCCACCCACATAGAGGCTCGTGACTAAGACTTAACACAGTACAGAGGTTTCTACCTCTTGATTTACTTCAGCATCCTTGTCCAGAAAGTCCCCTGAAGTTCATCATCTAGTTTTGCCTGGCTTTTGCTTGGTTTTCTTAAGCTATTACTTTCAGTTTTCCCCCCACATGTGACGCTACAGTTAATTGCCTGGGGGAATTTTTTAGGGAGAGGAGAGTTAAAATGCCACGGTCCTCCACGTGGCCGTTACTCTCCCATTTTGCGGGCCCAGGCAGTGAGGTGGAAATTACCCACTACCCAGAATGGATGGTGTGTATCGTGACTTGCGGAATCATGAGTGTGCTGAGCAATGCCTGTGGGTCAGGCATGGTCTTGGGGCGCCTCCAGTTTTGCCTGGGACTGAGAGTACCACCGAGAAGGTGTCCATCACACGTCCCCTTTTGCGGGAAGGTGCACAGCAGCATTTGCACCGTGCCGATTTTCCCCACTTCGGCCCTTCACAGCCACAACAATTGTTTAAAAGAGGAAGCTCTTTGGGTCATAAAATGTCATCTGATAGTTAATATAGCGTTATGCAGAATACTGGGTTTACAGTAGCTTGATTAGCAGGAAGTAGGTGATTCATCAGAAAAAAAAAACAAAAGAAAAAATAAACGCTTGCCAAATGAACTTCCTTTTTCAAACTCTATTTGTTCTAGCTCGTCATTTTAGAACCTTTTTCTAGCCCTTAGGGAAAAAAATAACTAGTAAGGACTAGTGCGACATTTCAAAGAGAGGTTATCCCAGCTTGTCATAGCTAAATGCGTTGTTTTGCCATAGTTAGAGTGAGGCCTGAGCTCTCTGCCCCAGGTCAGGCTGAGGGTGGGTGTGGGTACTGCCTTGAGGACACAGACCCTTTGCTGGCTGATAGATTTCACATTCAAACTGAAATATCCTCTAGGCCCACAGTGGGGCCTTTTGGATGTTACCCGTTGCCCCACCTTCCCACCCCGCCATTTGGTAGAGCATCCCTTTCACTTGGTTCCCTTCATTTTGTTTGCCTCGCAGATCCAGGAGGCTGCAAGTCAGGGCCTGAAATTCGTCGGTGTCATACCTCAGTACCACTGCCCCGTGAACTCAGCAGACAGCAGTCCCCAGGTGGAGGCTGGAGATGCGAGAACAGAGCCAGGCGGGGGTGGGGATAAGAAGAACCCAGGTGCTCCAGCAGGAATGGATGGAAGCCCAGAGCCAAACCAGCACCCAAAAGGGGAGCTATCCATTGCCGAGCAACCCAGCTTGCCTTTGGAAGAGGGGGGCGGTACAGAATTTTCCAAGACTCTGGATGGACCGGATGGGGACCTGTCCGAAATGCAGGAGGAAACGCTCTCGGGAAGTAAGTATGTCAGCACAGGGACTTTTGACCCATGGGATTAGAGCCTTTCGGTAACCCTCATGGAATTTTAGGGGGAAAAAATGGAATTGGAGTGTAGAGACAGCCATCCGTCAAACAGGAGAAACTTTATCAAGCACTTTTCTGGGCCTCCTGGCCGTTTACTAACTGAAGTTGTTACTTCCGGGGAGAGCAGAACCACATGAACTTGATTTGCAGTTGCTCCAAAATGTCATGTCTGAAGTGGATTCTAGAATGTGAGGTATTTGATCCCCCTGGCTCCTGCAGTGCCCTTGAGTCACCCGCTCTAACACAGGAAGTGTTAACGTGCCGGCTTCAGTGCAGAACGGACACTCCACTTTTGGCTCACTGGTTTTGAATATCTGCCTGAAGAAAGACATCAAGAAAGCCACTTCGGGGCAGATTGTGCGGGCAACTAGTGACTCAACTCCCTAGGCTATAAACAACCAGATTTCAGGGCGTTTTATATAGTTGATTGATCAGCACCATGGCGAGAACACTCGGCCAAGGAGAGGCCACCAAAACGTGAATCCTTTACATAGCGTTATAATGGCCAGTAGAGCATGCACTTTAGGTTGGGGATTTCAAATATCAACATAACAACGGTGATAGTAGCCAACATTTGTTAATACTTCCTGTGTACCAGGCCCTGTGCCAATTAATTTTGTATGACTGATCTCTTAATTCTCCCTATAGCCCTAAGATTCGGGTGATCTTTTGTATCATTGCCCATTTCGTGGCTGAGTAAACAGGTTTAGAAAGCAAATTTTTGTCCAGGCTGGAAATTGGCTGATCTGGCACGTGACCCCAGGCAGGCTTACCCACGATCCCAATTTGCCTCTCTGCTTGGGCTTTCCTGTATAATATTCTATTAGGCTACAAGATTTCCTGAGACCCTCAGTTTATAGAGAATGACATTTCTTTTCACAGCCCCACAATTCCCTGGCCTCTTCCTCCAGGAAGTCTAGCATCCACCCGTTTCCTGAGAGCCATGTACATATATGAGCTGCGTGGCCTCTTCTAGTCTTTGGAAGGTGAATTAATAATAAGATGGCCAGGGGGAGGCCCCCAGGCCTTAGGAGGCCATTCCCTTTAGCCTTCCTGGGTCATCTCCCTGGTTAATGTTGCTGTTTATTTACTAATTCTTGAAATTAGCCTTAAATAAATGATAAAGAACAGTTCATACTTTGAGAATAGAGAAGTTGAAATAGTTTTTTTGGGGTTATGATAGTACCTTCTTTTTTTAATTGGTTTTAGAGAGAGAGAAACATCGATTTGTTGTTCCACTTATTTATGCATTCATTGGTTGATTCTTGTATGTGCCCTGACTGGGGATAGAACCCACAACCTTGGCATACTGGGATGATGCCTTAACCAACTGAGCTATCAGGCCAGGGCTTGTCAGTACTTCCTGAAAATTGTAGGATGGTTCATCCTGGGGTCTTATTTGCAAAGTTGATTTAGAGGGAGAGATGGGCACTGCCTCAGCTTTTGGATATACTAGCATTACCACTCATTGCAGCCTGGATCCCCCTTAAATATGCACTGAAGTAGAGGAGGACTTCCACTCCCTCCCAGGCAGCTGAGAGCACATTTAGACCCTGTGTGTGCCTCCTAATGAATGTCCAAGTCTCATTCCAGAAACCTTCCTCTGCTCGCTACTGCTGAGCTCGGTGTGTGCGCTCTGAGTCCTGAGAAGGAAGATGGGCCTCCGTGGAGCCCTTCTCTATGGTCCAGGAGCTTGGGGGAGGGGGGGTGGTTCAGGGCATGCATAGACTCGCCCAGGAGAAAGGGGCAGGGGTCATGGAGAGGCGGGCGGCGCAGTGGTTAGGAACCCAGACTCTGTTTACATGCCAGCCTGCTCTCTTCTTGCTAGGCCAAGAGACTCTTCTGTGCCTCAGCATATTACCCTGTAAAATAGGGATAGAACAATAGTCCCTTGCTGAAAGATTAAAGAAGATATACATTTAAAGCAGTTAGCACTGCTTGACTCACAAGTGTGAGCTTTTATTATTGAGGTACATGTTCAGTAGTCCTGACTATTGACTTTTGCTTCTGCATGGAACCCTGGCTGTGAGAAAGGAGGCAGTTAATACTGAGGCTCCCCTGTGCCAGAATCGACTTTTCTCCAAGACTTTTTCCAGACTTCCTGCCTTCTGGGGTCAACCCCAGGGAGAGTTAATTGGGAAGATTTGTCCAAGGACCCACCCTTCCCCCAGGCACCTTCTACTGCCCTGTGACTGTTCACCTTTCCCATCACTCAACACACAGAGACCCCTGGACACCAATGTTTTGGCCTGTGTCTCATTTCCTCAAGTCCCTATTCTCTAGTAGAAAAGTAGTTTCTACCAGGTTCATGTGTGTCTGGAGGTGGTCAACCCATCAGTGGATGGGCATTTTAGCTGTGGAGGGTATTATGGCCCCTCCCTCTCTGTCCCCCGCCCCCCAGTCTCACTAGGGGGGGCAGCTGTCCATTGTCTACACATGAGGCTGGCCCTTATCTTTCTGCTCAGGGAAGCCACAGGTTCTCTAAATTTAGGCAGCTCACTGGTATCATTTTTCTCTTTTGGGGGACTAAATGAGCCTTTGGATTTTTCTCATCAGTGGATGAACACCCAGGAGTTACCAGTGCCTGTGCCTGGCCTCGTGGTGGACAGGGAGACAACAGCTCCGATGGTGGGAGCCCTCTCTGTGATCTAAGTTCTTCCTATGCGTCATCCCCGTTGCTCTCCCAGCAGCCTTATGACAGAAGATGCTGACACTATGCCCACTTCACAGATAGGGAAAGTCACCTTCCGTGCCCTTCATGCAGTTACAGTTTATCTCATAGCCTGAGCAGCCCGCCTCCTTGGAGGCCAGATGTCCAGGGACGCTGTCTGCTCTGGCCATGGCCCTTCTCTGACTGCAGCCTCTCTCCTAATCGTTTTCCTGGGAAGTCTTATCATTTCCTTGCACCACTCCACCCCCCTAAAGCACCATGCCGTACCCCCCACAAGCACCGCCCTCCACAAGCAGCCCCCCCAACACAAGCTCCCCCTCTCCACTGCTTGCTCAGCTTTCTGCTTGCCTTTTTCTCAGGGCCCCCTAAGGAGGGTGAAGTGTTTTTACTCCTCCTTCTGCCAGGTGGGCTTAAACAGGCAATCACAGCAAGACAATTTTAAAATGTCCTGAGGGAGCCTCCCTCCTTCCCCCTCTTTCTCCTCGTTTAATTTATTTCCTTCATAGGAGGCCTAAGGGAGCCAGCCTAGGCTGCGACGGCTCAGGTAGGGCTTGCCGGAGAATTCTCCATCCGGAATCAGGGCAGGTCGCCACTCCCCCTTCCTGCAGGCTCCAGGGAACACGCTCTGGCCAGAGGTTATGTTCGTCTTGCCCACTCGGGTCCCTGGGAGGCCCATCATGTGGGGTTTTTTTTCCCTGCACATTGACTTATTTCCTGGTCCAGGGGAATTTCCTGTTGGTTTGATGCCCTCGCTTTGTAGAGATCACCTGAGCTTGGCACAGGGACAGCCGCATACCTTGCTGCCCCAGGACGCTTCCCTGTTCCCTTCTCACACTCCGCTCCCCCGCTCCCTCCCCCCCGCCCTCCCCCTCCCCACCATGACCAGCCCCTCGTGAGGCATTTCTGTCCATGGGAAGCGTGTGTTCTTCTTTTGCAATGAACAGGCTGGGTGGGGAAGGCTGGTGCAGGGAAAGGTTGAGAAGACGTCGCCAGAGGTCCACCTGTCACTTCTCTCCTGGCCTCCAATGTTCCCATCTTGTCCTTCCCTCTGCGTCTCTGTGGCTGCAATTTTGGTTACAGAAACAAGGAGGTCAGACAGGTTCATACAAATTGAAATTACTCTCATGGTTGCCGAAATAATAATAAAATGTCTTCAAATCACTACCCTTCCTACCCTGTACCCACTCACTTAAAATGCTCAGAAATGCCAGCCAGAAACCTGAGCTAGTGGTCTCAGCGGTGCTTCCTGGCTGTGGGGATTTTAGTCAGTGGGCCTCCTTGGCGGCCAGCTCAATGTGGGTGGAGAGAGCGACGGTACCCTCCTGAGTCTGGCTTTTCTGATGCATGGCCTCCTTCCCGCTCCGTGCCCCCAGGATAGCTCTACCCCGCGGGTCTGCCTGCTCCCGTATCTGCCACCTGCCACCATCTTCTGGCCTTTCCACTCAGTCCATTAACACAGCTATTGAACTCCCACCTGTGGTCATCAGCTCCTGCTTCCTGTGCACTGATGAAATTAGCCTCTTGTTAGATTTGGGAAACAGCCCAGGCTTTGGGGTTTGAAAGACTCTTGGCTTCGCCGCTTACCGGCTTGTAATTTCTGGGAGATCCACATAAGGCTTCTGGGCATAGAACTGATGGAGATCGGGAGAGTCACAGGAGATGGTGAAGGCGAAAGGCTTTTGTCAACACCACGCGCATGCCTGCGGGTGCTGTGATCCTTACAGTGGATGCCCGTGGCGTGCTGTGCATGCAGTGGTTCCCGCACTCTGCCCTGGCAAACAGCTCTCAGCCAGGCCCGGAGGGGCCTGCCGTTAGCCCCCGAGCCTGATCGAAGCCTGAAGCAGCCTTCTCCCAGATCCAGGAATCCAGACTGGCCCAAGGCCCTCTGCCCTCCCTTCCCACCGTAGTGCCCACCATCCCGCCTTCCCGGTGCAACCCTTTCGGCTCGGCTCCCCTGCCCATGACCTCAGCAGACCTTAGCCCCCACTCAGTCCAGTTACCAGGCCAAGTCTGACCCTGACTTGTTTCTTCCATCCAGCTAACTCATCAGCCTCCTCCCTCTCCCAGTCTAGCCCTTGGAGCCCCATGCCTTCACCAGACTCTGAAGCCCCCTCTTCCCTGTAGCCTGGGGGTCTCTGGGAGCACTGGGACCCGGCTGCAAGGCTCAGACTCTCTGTGGGGCCTTACCTGCAGACAGGCTGCAGACTTCCACCTCATGCCTAAGGTCCTCCTCCCTGGTCCAGGCCTCAGAACTGGCCATCTACCTCCTCCCTGCTCCCCAGATCTCTTAGCAAGGCCAGAGTGGACCTGACTGTAAGGCTGACAGCACCCAGTGGGGCCCATGCCCCCTCGGCCTCCCCTAGCTTTCTGCACCTGTCTAGCTTAGGTCAATCCATCAAACATATGTGCATCACCTGTCATATTATAGGGACTCGTCTGGACACAGAGGATCCAAATGGCATAAGGCAAAGCCCTCTGTGTCAGAGAGAAACAGCAAGACAGAGAGAAATACAGGACAGTTCTATTTTTTTAATCCTCACCTGAAGACATGGTTTTACTGATTTTAGAGAGAGAAGAGAGAGAGAGAGAAACACTGATGTGAGAGAGCTACATAGATCGGTCGCCTCCCATATGTACCCCAGCCGGGGATTGAACCCACAACCTTTTGATATACAGGGACGATGCTCCAGCCAACTGAGCCACCTGGCCAGGGCAGAGATACAAGACAGTCTTGATGCTTCCTTGGTGCTCTGCCAGTCCAGGTCTTCAGGAATTCTCAGAACACGCTCAGAAACAATGCCTTCCCCCCTCCTTTGGGACTTTCTGTCCCATGTCTGGAAATATCTTCCAGCTGGGGTCATGACAGAGTCACAGAGCAGCTGAGAAAATTTAAACAAACTTGGGGCTTCTTTCTGGAATCCCTGGTGCCTGCTCATGTGTGCTGGAGAATCAGAATATTAAAACATCAAAGTATATCATTCGGAGACGGTTTCTCTTGGCTGGTTTCCACGTGAATAGAGAGAGGATCGAGGCCAAGGAGACAGTGGGACAGAGGGGTTTACTAAAGGGTTACGCATTTGAAATCAGGTTTCTCCCAATATTTCATTACTACTAATGCTTTGGAGGCTCTTGATTCCAACAGCATTTCCTTTCCTTCCTGAACAATGTATTTCTGTCTCTGGCTTCAGGCCTGCACCCCGGGGAGGGCCAGGCGGGAAGGTGGGGGCGCTGTCAGTGCTGCAGCCTTGCCCTGGCCTCCCTTCATGCCGCTCCGCACTCTCACTTCTCGCTTTGGCCTTCCCCTTTTTCTGTTCTGTTACGCACTTGCTAAAGTTGTGTTTTTGTCTTGCCCTGTGTGTGGGGGATCCTGTGTGACCAAGTGTTGGCATATATTTTTGGACTGTGGCCACTTCCATATTCCCCATTCCCTTCTTCCAGGGAAAGGCTGTGACTGATTGTTCTTTTTAATTCGTGTTCATTGGTGCTGGACTATAACAGACTCTGGTGACTGGAGCTCCGGCCCACCTCGGAGTCTCCGGTGACCAGCTCTCTCAGCCCCTGCCCACAGGTGTCCCCTGGGATGGGAACATGCCCAGTTGGCCCAGAATTAATGCCTTAAGGGTGGCCTGCAATCCCTGAGGATAAAGGCCCTGGCTTCCCTGCCCACTTGGAGGGGCAACCTGAGGTGTGTGTTCTCTACAGCGTCTCAGGGGGACTGAGCCCCAAGGACCAAAGGGGTAACCTTCTCGTTAATGCTGTCCTTCCCTGGCTCTCCTCTCTTCCCTATTTCCCACCTCTCCCCTCTCACTCTGTTTCCTGGGATCACTTCCCAAATAAACTACCTAACAGCGTCTCCTTTTGAAGAAATCCAAATGAAACCTAGCAGTCACTAAACCATTGCTTATCCTCTTGCCTTGGTAGCTATGGCTATTATTTGAACCCTTGGCACCTGGGCTGGAAAATAACTGATTAGTTCACAACCTGTCCCCCGCCCCAGCTCCAATCCACTGCTTGATTCCCCTCCACTACAAACCTTGCTTTGCCTGACTCCATCCCTCAAGTGTGTGTGTGTGTGTGTGTGTGTGTGTGTGTGTGTGTTTCAAAGTCACAAAATAGTCTAGTGAGTGCCAGCTGTGACACCAAGACCTGATTTCTTGTGTGAAAGCTTTTACTGGTTGGAGATGTCTTCCTGGGTCATGCAAATGGACTGAGAAAGGGGATTTGGGGTGGGGATAATAACTAGCCCGAGCTGGTTCTTTAAAATCCAGGTGGCACATGTGAAGATGGGCACCTTCCTTTTCTCATTGGTTCCAGCCCATGGATAGCTGGAAATGCCCCCTCCTTCCCCGTAGCTTAACTCGTGCTGATGGCAAAGGCTCATGGCCCAGCATTGCTCCCCAGAGGTCGCTGCTGATGCTTGCTCAGATGGCGCCGGGAGAAGACTTCCTTTGTCCAGAATACGGTTCCTGTGTGAGATAATTTTAGACGTGATACGGAGGGACATATTTGGTGTTAATGTGCCTCCTCATCGCCTCCTGTTTATAGCAAGTGATGGTTGTTGCCCTTATGGTCTGGAAGCAGAGTTTCCTTTTGAAGTGCATTTATTTAAATAAAGGAAAGTGAGTCCGTTTATTTGGATAGCGCAAAAATGATGAAATACTGAAACACCAGATACGGCATCCCAGAACGTGGGTGTGGGCCAGGTGTCTCCTGCAGGGAACATGAGTGTGCTTTGTCTTTTTCGCTAATGTCAACCATTGTTTATGACCTTTACGGTATTTCTTTGAAACAGCGATGGGGATTTTCTTATTGAAACAGATATTTTTGGAAACCAAAGTGTATTCCTGACTAGCCCGTGTAAGCAGAGCTTTTTAAGCTAGGTGAACTCTGATTGTTTGACTAAACCAGTAACACAAAAATAGACCTTCAGACTTAGATTGAAATTCCAGGTATTTGCTCCTGGAGGCCAACACTGCTCACTCGTGGCTGGCAGCACATACGGCAGGCGCGGGTCAGCTGCTGGGTGGCACTGACTATTGATTTTTGAAGAACCGAGCCATAAATGAAGGAACAGAAAGTTCAATGCCCCCTGCCAGTGTCTGCCTGCCTGGCTGAGCAGCCCAACCACTCCAGGAAGGAACCCTCATTTACAGGAACATATTTATTTTTACATATCAATGATGTATTTTTGATGTTCTTGATTAAGTATTATGGGTTCAGCCCCAGGAAACACCACTGCAGTTTATAAATAGTGAGTTCAGGGGTGTACAAGGTTCCTGGAATTGCAGCAGTATTTTCGCTTTTATGTGCTTGTGTACATTTACTTTTTTTTTTTTAAGACCCGCTCTCGCCCAAGTATGTCTGCTTTTTCTTTCAAAACACCTTTGTCTGAATTTCTAGGACTGTCTACTCTGTCCTTCTCTCAAAACCTAACTGGACAAATTAATCCCAGATAACAGCAATTCATTATAGGCCAGATTGAAAACTGAAGTCCCCTCCTAGAAGTTCAGCCTTTGAGGTTCATGTCACCTTTAAGGCATGCTAACTTTCTGCTCAGAATCGGACTTTATTATTGGTCAACAGTGTACCCTCAGAGAGATATTACCCTTGATACCATTTCTTCAGGCTCCTAAGAGATGCCACTAGACCCAATGAGGGAGCTTTTTATTCCTGTTTAAACTTCTGTCTCTCACCCCCTTTACCAATCCCAACAGAAATGGAGATCTTCGCCCTTTTCAACAAACCGAAGAGCCATCAGGAGTGCCGGCAATACTATCCCGTCACCATTCCTCTGAGGGTCTCCACCAACGGCCAGACGGTGAGCAGTTTGGATGCCAACTGGCTGGAGCACATGAGCGACCACTTCCGGAAAGGAGGCGTGCTAGTCAACGCCGTCTTCCACCTCGCCATGGTCAATGGTATGGAATTCATGGCCCTTGGGTGGCCCTTAGAAATTTTGCCTTTCATTCTTATCATCTTAGCCCATCTTCGGAGCCTGCACCCTTCAGAAAGGTCTGCAACTAATAAACATGCTGCCTTGGATTTCTAATTAACACTTCTTGAGGAGTTTCCATAAAGCCCATCGCCTGTGCTCTCTAAACCTCTCTGGGGGTCAGCCAGGTATCTTCTAAAATGACAGAGAAAGAGGAGTAATTCTGTTTTGATGGTGGTGGTCTTGATCTATGTTACTTTCCAAGGCTTTGAAGAAGATTATTCCCCAGTTTTGTTAATTATCCCCTGGGATCATGCCTCTCCGCAAGTGCAAATTGTTTATAGACGCTGTTACAGTTTGAAGTAGCAGTAGCAGCACCTTGGAATTAACAGCAGGGATGTGAACTGAACAGCCTGGTTCCTGTAAGCTCCATGGGGATACATGTTGCTCCTGGGTCTCATGGCGCGCAGTACCCTCTCCCCAGTAATGGGTTATCTCTGGGGTTTGCTGCATGGAATAGTGGCCTTGTTGTCAGCTTTTCAAAGGCAAAGATAAAGTTTGCCCAAAGTGGGAAATGTGTCAAGCAAAGAAGGTATTTCAGGTTAACAGGAAGATAGGTTGAGTCACTGGGATGCATCCCAGCTGGGAGGCAGTTTGGGGACTGGGACTAACAGGCCAGCATGTGTGGATCCTGGGGGCTGCCAGTGAGCAGGATTCCTAGGTAAGTGCATGGTTACACTGGACTTGTTAATCTCAATGAAACATGGCAGGGGCATCACCAGAACCATGTCTTTGTTGTTGAGTAGTTGTCTAAGAATTAGCAAAGCCAGGGATGGAGTTTGGATTCTACGTGATTTGCAATCTTTGAAATGCCAGCAAACAGGCTTAGAAAGGACATCAGTCTTAATTCTGAATGTACCTTCTATAAATCGTCCAAAGCCTTTAGAACACTGTATAGCACAGACAGGTCTAAACTTTGGCCGCCATCCTTTGTTATTGTACTAACCAAAAATTGATGTCTGATGTTAAGGAGACAGTGTAGCGGCAGCAGGCACTGGACGGTACAGCGGGCCACCGCCGCTCGTGGGGGGGGTGCGTGACATTGAGAATACATCCTGAGCGGTGCTGTCCCGTGTGGCAGCCACACGGGGCTAATGACCAGTTGCGGTGGGGCTAGGAGGACTGAGGAGTTGAGTTTTAGAACTTAATTTTCATTAGTTTAAATTTCAGTGACGGTATGTGGCTAGTGTATTGGACAGTACAGTTCTAGAGTATCCGTTTTATTAATGTAACTAATGGAGTCCCTTCAGTTCTCTGGCAGCAAGGTTGGTAACCTCCCTGTATTCAAGGAGGGCTTCCACGGGCGCTTGCAAAGTTCCCTGAAGCTAGGCAACGTCACCGTCTGTTTTGAGATGTACCGTAAAATGCCAGAGGCATCGGCCTGGGGATAGCGGTCACGGCCCTGATGCGTCAGCCTTTGGGGAAGCCAGGGCAGAACTCTCCACTTCCTGCTTCCTGCAGGGACACCCCATCTCCCAGCTTGGCTTGTGGTAACATCAGTTCCTTTACTCTCCTTTTGGTGCCCAGCTCTCTGTGGCCGTGCACAGTTTTAAATTTCTTCTTGGGACACTGATGGTTAGTTGTGTGAACATCTTAGAGATGTACAGGGAGTCACTGAAGGTAGCAGCCACTCTGACAGCCACTGGTCATTTTCCCCCTGTAGAAGAAATGGCGAGTCAAAAGGGCAGTTTTCTCTTTGGCCTTGCTGCCCAAGCATGTCAGGAGCAAGCTGAACCTCACTTTAGGTCACCTTGAAAGTTGGCAATGGCATTTATCGTCTCTCTAGCTGTTGCGGCTTTGGCAGCCGAGGTTGAATCTCCTCCACTCCTCCTTAGCCCGTTCTCCGACCTTGAGTCCAACAACATAGATAATTTATACAGTTTTTTTCTTCAAATTTGACTCGGGGGGGTTGAAATGCTGTTATATCCTCCCTCGGCTTTAGTTGCGTTAAATCCAGCCTTCCTACCCTGAAGGCAGACAGAACATGGAATTTCTCCTGGCAAGTGCGGTCGTGAAATCCTACACAGCCTGTGACCTGTTCACAGCAGGGCTGCCCACGGCTCGGGCTCCACAGGAGATGCACGTCTGTCTGAGGGATGCCTGCAGAATTCTCAGCACAAAATTAACCTAAACCCGCTCAAAATTCAAGCACGATTTCACCCTGTGTGTTTCTGATGGGGGGAGAGAGCGTGATGTGGGAGTGATGTTTAGTGGGTTAGGGCATTTCTGCTCTGGAAAAGCCCAAGGTTTCCGTTGGCCAAGGATGAAATGTGCGTATGTTCTTTTCCCAGAATTGAAAGAAAAAAAAAAGCAAGCTAATCATAATTAGAAGAGGAACCTGTTTCTAAGAAGATAATTAGTGTCCTTACAAATAAACCTGGCAGAGTTAGAAGCACATCTTTAATCTGCTTACCATCTGGAAAAGCACTGGTCTTGACTCTTACATGGATCTTTGTACTCCAGAATATTTTCCACAGAGTCATAAAACTCATGAGAACTTTGTCCTGTAAATAAGATGATTGCTTTAGCCTGAATTATTCAGTTAAGACTCCAGCTTCTGTCTTGGAGGCTTTAATTCCAGGACCTGGAAAGATGTGAGTGGTCCTTAAGTTTGTGCTTCTGTTCAAAGTGTCCAGGGCTCCTATCCTTAGAATGACCAGGTGTCTTGGCTGGAGAGGCTGTGCCCTTGGACCCTGGCAAGCGAAGGTCCAGGTGACAGCGAAGCGTGAGGATGATCATGGCCACCTAGCAGTTTCTATGTGCTGTTGCTACTCTAAGCCATTCAAACATAGCAACCCACTTAATCCCCATGACCCAGTGAAGAGGACACTGTTGTCCCTGTGTTAGAGCTGTGGACACTAAGGCACGGGGTGATCAATTCATTGCCAAGGCTAGAAAGTGGCAGAGAAAAAGAAGGGCATGGGCAGGGAAAAGGAACATGAGGAGGAGAAAAAAGAGGTGGCTGTGTTGGTGAGAAGTCGAGGCCCCCACAGGGCTTTGGGGTGGAGGAAGGGCAGCTCCAGGGTCACCCTCAGGGAAGAAGCAGGACCTGGGTGGTCGGCCAGCAGTGTCCCGGGGTTGCTCAGACAGCAGAGCGGGCAGCCGCACAGAAACACTCCAGCCAGTGAGACGAAGGCCAGACCCTGTGCTTCTAGAGGGTGGAAGAGGCCGGGAGGGAGGCCCTCTGCTGAGCTGGCTGCTGGTGAGGGGTTGGCATGTACCGGGGATCAAGGGGTCAGGGGTCGGGACGAGGTGGAGCAGGCTGCCCACTGTCTGAAGATCTGTCCAGGGACTTGATTTCTCACCAAGTGCTTCCAGCCCAGCAGAATCCCTGCTGCCACCATTGGCCACCAAGGCTGCTGCCACTGCTGCCACCTCTCCATGCCTTGCCCTGCCCTGGCCTTGTCCTTGCTCGAAGTTTCTTTTATTCTACCCTTGCCCTGTCTTTGTCCCCTCCTTGCTCTCGGCTTGTCCCCACCTCACTCTGCCCTCACTTCACTCTCCTTACCCTTGGCCCTGGCCCTGCCCTGGCCCTCCCCCTCCCCTCCCCTGACCATGACCCTGAACCTGCCCTCACCCTCTCCTAGCGCTGAAGTCCTTCCCTCTCTGGCAGTATCATCTTTCTCCAGCCCATACTCAGATGTCTTCAGTTGTTTCAAAAATGTCCTTTACAGCAGGTTGTCCAAACCAGAATCCACTCCCGTGATGTGTACTGCAAGTGGTGACCATGTCCTCACTTGTCTGTTACTTAAAAGAGTCACTTTTTATGACCGTGCCCGTTTGAAGGAAAGCCAGCCTCTTATCCTGCTCAACGTCCTGCTTTCTGGACGTGTCTGGTTAGTGCCTCACGGTGACGTTCATCTTACCTATCCTTCTTCTTATCTTCTCCAGCCTCTGCTTCCTAGGAAGTGGAATTCAGTTGTAAGGCCTTGATAAGTTAAGCACTTGTGACTAGAACACATTCCAGACGGTGCTGTGTTCTACGTGTGTCACATCAGGAGACACTCTGTAGCTGAATGTCTCCATTCCTACCCTTATAAAAGATTGTCTTCCCGGTGACCCTCCCTGAGGCCCCAGCCACACCTAAATTCAAGCATCTTTTGGTATTTATACCACCTTTTTCAACACCTAGCATAACCTAAATGACTTTATATTTGCAAAATAGACATGTCAACAATATGTACTTATTTCCAATGAAACACATGTAGAGACACACATTTCATACAGACCTACTTTCACACCCTTGCCCAGGTCCTGCGTCCTGTTCACCTTAAGTGTCCGGGTGCCTATACACTGGGGGTCCTATGTTCAGAAGGTGATCAGTAAAGGCTTCTGGGTGATGCTCAGCTGTGCCAGTGATGATGAGCGGAGAAGCTGCTGTTGTGTGCATCACCAGGAACCTGCAGGGATGGGGGGTCAAAGAGCTAGGCGTGGAGGGCGTGGAAAGGGAGGGAGAGTAGGGTAGTTGCAGGTGCTTTAGTAGACACTCCCTTGAACGCTGCCGTCTCCAAGAACGTCTGGCCTGCCAGTTAGAGCCATGGCTTCTCCCTGTGAGGAGCCAGTTAACAGACAATGTAGGGCCAGGTTTCACTGATACCATTAAAGTGCATTTTCTCTTGTATCCATTCCACATCTTTAAGGAAGCCTTTTATTGCACTATATAGCACATGTGCAGAAAGGATGTAGGTCAGTGGATTTGGACAAGGTGTGCAATCCATGTACCCAGCACTCAGATCAAGACATGCGACATACAAGCCCCCTTGGAAACCCTCCTCCTGCGCCCTGCAGTCCCCAAGTCCTGGGGGGACCACACTCCTGACATGAGACACCATAGGTTAGTTTTGAACTTTCTTTTCCCATTTCCTTGGGATATAGTTGACATATAATAATGAATAATAGTTCGTTATGCAACATAATGATTTGATA